AACCGGGTCCAGCCCTGATGCTCTCCCAGCTTTCTGTGGTGGGCTACTTATGGACCGTGTTACTTGGATTGGCTTTTAAAATACTGATTCCCCTTCTCATTGTGACCTACTGCCCTTTCCGGATGTATTTGTGACAGATGTTGACTCGATGGAAAACCAAAACAAAACTTGGAAGTAAAGCAACAAAGAAAGCAAAATCTCCTTCTGATGATCCTCAGCATCAAACAACCCGGGTCTTTCATATCAGGCTTTGAGTTTTAGTGCTTTAAATAAAACACACCCAAGAGGACCAGAGCAACTGCCTTACTGGGGCAGACCAGCGGTTCCTCTAGGTCCTCAGCTTGTTTCTAGTAGGAACCAGTACCTGATGCTTCAAAGGAAGGTATAACCCAGCATGATGTTTCTAACACATGGAGGTGAAAAGAAGAATCCACTCATGAATGTAGATGCTGCCCTCACTCACAAACACACCTCGGACTGAGAAACCACGGAGAGAGACACTGTGTCCTTCACTCCACCATCCTTCTCGTGACCTTACCGGCACCGCGAGCATCCTGGTGTCTGCAGGCAGAAGCACCATTACCTGCGGGTCCACGGGTCTGAGCAGGGGAGGGGTCCGGGCGGGCTGCACCCCGCTGATGCTGAAGGACTCAGAGCGAGGAGGCAGGTTGGGGTCGGAGATCCTGTTGGCCACCTTGTGCGGCATGGCCGGCGAGCTCTGACGGTTGAGCCGGGAGCGCTCCTCCACCTGCGCGACACCGCGGCAGAGCCCATCAACACGCGGCACCTCCCGCGGACCCGCAGCCATTCTGCTTTCCACGAGATGATCCTATTTCCTGTTATTTTCCAAGGGACAGGGCTGCTCTATGCACCAAATCTTTGAGGGCTTTAAGCATTTCCCATGGGGTAAATGCTCAAGCCTGGATCTCGGCCAAGCTCAGGTTCTCAAGCAACCTGTATCAGCTTTACCTTACTTCATGTCCCCTCTTCTTCACCCCATTAACTTGCCCCAGGTTTATCTCCTCCATCACATTTTTGCCTCTTATCAGTATTCTTCCTCCTCCCTTCCCTGTCCCCCATCAAGAGCCTAAAATAACGCTGCTTGCTCAGACGTTCTTCAGTGCAGCTCAGTGTAGGGTTGCTCCAAGGGACGGCCATGCTGCAATGTGCTGCACACAGAGCAGCAGGATTCACCACACTGCTCTCCTTGTGAAGCCTGAGACGCTCAAGAGAGATCATTAGGAAACCTAAATGGCACCTCTAGCTTCTAAGAGGTAAGAAAGCCCCATGAAAAAGCCATTTATAGTTAAAAGCCAAGGCACATATAGGAAGCTTCTTTCTCTTTAGATACATCATGCTATTTTATGACTCTCGAATTCAAGTCACCCAGCAGATTGTGCAAACGATGCATTTTAAAGAGTTCCCCAAAGGAATATTTATATCTCATGTGCATAACTGATCCTTGTGAATCTGAAATGGAAAAATAAAGCCTCAAGAAAAGGCAGCATGCCTCAAGAAGGTGTTTTTTTGCAGATGTCTTCAGAGAAGCAGCTCTTGCCTTTTTGTAACTCTATCTTGAAGCAAGGGGATCCTTTACTGGAAACACTGCAGGGAGTGCTTTTGTTAGATTTGAATCCAGGAATAAACATGGCAGCCTGAAAACGTCTGGCTTTGATCTAGATTTAGCAAGTCTGGCACCTTGTCATGCATGGAAGAAAAAAAAAATCCTATTACTGATACAGACATAAAAAAAGTCCATTGTTTTCAGGTAATCTTTGTGGAAAAACAATGGTTTCAGCTAACCCAGACATATGTGCAGTCTGTGTGCTACTGAGATGAGACTGCATGAGCTGATACGCATGCAACATATGCTGAGCATAATTTTGATACTGCAGCTGATGCATATTTTCACTCAGGAGTCATTAACATGTGTAAGATACCATGGGCATGTCTTAATTCCTCCATGCCATGTCGAGAAGTAAACCATTAAATAGGTTTGCCTGCAAAGAACTACAGCTATTCTTTAAGTAAACATACATTCATGAAAGACATACAGGAGACATTTATATTAATAAAAAACGAACAGGGCACGAGTGCTGGGACAGGCTGTCCTAGAGCAGCTCCAGTGTGTCTGCTCCCTTTCCGAGCCTTGGCGCTCACCGTGGCCACCAAAGGCAACGCTGCTGATCCCACTGGTATTTTGGGGAGCTTTGTGAACCAGCAAGGAGGAAGACGCTTGGTTTTCCAGCCACCATCGGCACCTCACCAAGTGCTTCGTTTCACAAGCGCTCCACGCGCGGGGCTCTCCAGCCCTACCCCATGGCATCTTATTGACTCCAGCATTGCACAGGGAGGGGGAAAAGGCGGCCCTCTGCAGTGCCAAACTCCGCATGAATTCGTCATCGCTCCCGTTTGCCAGGAGCCTCTTTTATAATTCAAGATTCACGTCAAATGGGGAACATCCTGAGCAGCTTCTGCGGAGGTCCCAGTGGAAAGCAGCTAATGCTGCCATGAATTATTTCAAAGCCAAAGACGGATGACAAAAGCCAAGGGGACTGGAGGGGACGATGAAAAGCGAGCTGGCTGCTGCAGAGAACTGTGCTGCTGGTGACACAACTGAGCTGTGAGCACCACAGAGGCACCAAGTGCTGGGAAGAAGCACCGTGAGACCATGCCCAGGGCACCCAGGCCCCTTTGAAGATGCCCAGGTGAACAATTCCCTTGCTGCTCCTTTATGTAAGGACATACATGAACCTCTTTCCCAACCTGTCCTTTAGCTGACTAGGCTGCAAGTACTTTTTCACTAAAAAACTGAATGTGTTTGAACTGAGTACTGGAATTGCCAAACTATGACAACAACTGTGGTGTGCTGATAGTATAAGTTTGGCTGTAAGAATGGGACTTCAGTATATGCAGCAAAGTAGCCGAACTTTGCTAAAAATGGGACTGTGTGAAGTAGCTAAAACAGAGCATGGAGGTGAGGGGAGTAGTTACAGGAACCTCCCAAGTGCTGTGTTGGGGCAGTTCATCAAACCACTGCTCCGAGGAGCATAAAAAAGGTAAATTTGCCCCTTTGAGCATTTCATTATAAATATGCTGCTGCTCTTATTCCCATTTAAAGTCCCTTACTGTAATGTAATTTTGTATCTGCAAATGAAGGTCAAATCCAGTTCTTTAATCCATTTTTGTTCTAGGTAAAGATCCCTTTTTATAAATCTTTGTTATAGATAGCTTTGGAGACAGTGCCAGAGATACTTTAGCAATGTTCTAGAGGATTTATATAAAGCTAGGTAATAGAAAGAGAATTTACTCCCATTTCCTGGTTTGCTCCTTACTGTTAGCATCACTGCAGGTGTACAGTAGAGACCCAGTTTTGCAGAAGGCCATGGAGGCACCACCTAGGTGGAAGCTTCTCCTAGCAGAGGTAGGAGAACAGCTCAGAGCTGTGTTGTTTGGCACATCAGTCTTAAACAGGAACACCTGTCCACAGAGCTACAGGAAGGGTTGGTAACAGTCCTGAAGCTTCTGCAAAGCACTCGCTATTAGCAAACTCTTAATTCTTGTGATATTTCAGGAAAGGAAACAGGCCTAACCTCAAGTTCTCACTTTTCATCTGGAGCACGCACATTTTTCACAATTTTTGAAGCCCACATCTGACCTGAGAATGTGATTACTAGCCAAGACCTCAGTTATAAGAATTTCCTCTTTTTGGGAGGAGTCTCCTGTACTTACACTGCTCCCTCTCTCCTACCTCCTTGGCCCACGCTGGCTTCTCACTGGCATTTATGCCCTCCTTGTAATGGTAGAGAGGCTTCTTCTCCCCTGGCCG